CATCGTCGCTACCAACCCCCCCAGCGATCACTCTCTCCTCCCGACATCAGTCGCTACCAACCCCCCCAGCGATCACTCTCTCCTCCCGACATCAGTTGCTAGCAATTCTCTCCCTCCCAGCACTCTCTCTCCACCCACTGCGTCCCAAACACCTTACACTCCAGCATGGAGTAGACAGACTCATCCTGTCACTGTCACCCCATTCACCAGTGCAGTAGGTCCTACGTTTGATGTCCCAGAGTCTCCCTCCTCTGTGTTTCTTCATTTCTGGCCTGACAACTTTCTGCAAGAGATCTGTGCAGAAACAAACCTCTACGCACAACAGGTAATGGGGCCAGCGAAGTACGCAGATTGGGTGGAGGTGAGTGTGCCAGAGTTGAAAGCCTATTTGGGGTTTTCCATACTCATGGGGATTGTGAAGCTCCCAGCTCTGGAGGACTACTGGAAGGTTGACCCCTTTCTACACTTCCCCCCCATCGCCAGTCGCATTTCAAGACAGCGTTTCAGGGACATCTCCCGCTACCTCCACTTTGTGGACAACACCCAGCTAGTGTCTCGTGGTCAGCCTGGCTATGACAAACTGGGGAAGGTGCGACCGGTCATTGACCACTGCAGTAGTGTGTTCAGGGATAGTTACAACCCACACTGTGAATGCGCGGCTGATGAGGCAATGATCAAATGCCAGAGCAGGACATCCCTCAAACAGTACTACCACAGAAACCGGTAAAGAGAGGGATAAAAGTGTGGGTCAGGGCTGACAGCCACAATGGCTACTTCAGCCAGTTTGAGGTGTACCAGGGGAAGGGGAGCAACACGACACCTGAGCTTGGTCTTGGGGGGTCTGTGGTGAAGACCTTGACACGGCCTCTTGTGGGAAAACAGCACCATATCTTTATGGACAACTTTTTCACGAGCCCAGCACTGTTCATGGACCTGCTTCAGGATGGCATCTACGCCTGTGGAACAGTCAGATCGAACAGGAGAGGTTTTCCACAAGATCTGAAGGGGAAACGAATCTTGAAGAACAGGTATACACACTCTACACACACACATCTACAGGTATACACACTCTACATACACACACATCTACAGGTATACACACTCTACATACACTACACATTACGATACATACATAGTTTTATAATACACACTTTTGCAGGGGGGATTTCACAGTTCGACAATCTGGTCAGTTGACGGCAACAGTCTGGTTGGACAACAAGCAGGTGCAAGTGATGGCGACCAATGTCCAGCCAGATGAGAGAGGGACTGTCAGACGCAGGCACACTGACACCACTGTGCGTGAGGTCCAGGCACCGACAGCAATAATTAGCTACAACAAGTGGATGGGAGGAGTGGACAGGGGTGATCAGCTACGGCAATATTACCACCTACGTCTAAAGAGCCGGAAAGTGTACAAGTACATTTTCTGGTTTCTTGTAGACGCCTCCATCGCCAACGCGTTCATCCTCCACCAGTACAACACCTCCACATCCACCAGACCGTCACCGTTCAAAGCCTTTCGTCTCGAGTTGGCGAAAGGCTTGATAGGGAATTACAACAGCAGGAAGCGTGCAGCACCAACAGCAGCTCCAGTTGTCCCCTGACCCCGACGACCAACATCACTAGCCCACTTCCCATTGCGGCGACCAACAGGCAGCAAGAAGGGCATTGCTCGTTGTTGGCACTGCTCCCACACACGTCGGCCGCCACTGAGGAGAGAGACAATGTGGTACTGTGGAGAGTGCGACTTGTACCTCTGCCACACAGGAGTCAGAGAGACTGACTGCTTCATGGCACACCATGAAGCACTACTGCACAGACCCACACACTAGTGTGCTAAACTGCACATATGTACTGCCGTATGTAACAATTACGTAGCTAGCGCTAAAAGTACACGTAAAGTGGCAGGTTCTAACGGCAAACACATCACTTTTGCTGTGTATGAACTTACCTACGCAGTATTCCTGAAGCTTTCAGTGACTCTTCTTCACACTAGCGCTGAGTTGCATATCCAAAAGTTCCGACGTCTTATTGCCTGGTAGCACGGAACATGAGAACCACATCAATGCGTCATTTTCTTACAAATGATGCGTAAAAACTTACCTTCACATCGTTGCTGAAGCTGCAAGGGACTCTTCTTCATAGTAACGCTGAGTTGAGTGTATAAAGGTTCGACCGTTTTCAAGCCAGGACGCCTGGAACACGAAGACCACGTGAACGTACGCGGTTGCGAAATCCGGCCCCACCCTTACGCGCGAGCGCGCATGCGTGCATAAAATTAACAGCGTGTAATCGGCTTTCCATACCAAGTTTTTCTGCACTGAAGTGGAAATCCTTGCTGCAGAAGCAGTGCTTCAACTGAAGCCATGTATTCACACATAAAATTGCATAATGGTTCTTGGGATTCAAAAAATTGTAGCAAGTATCGAACTCGCAGCAACGGTTTCTCTACTTACGCTCATGCGTGTGTCAGTGCAAGCACATGCACGAAGTGTCCCAGACCAAAAAATGTGTGTTGGTTCACTGGGTGAACACAGCAGGGCTTTAGCAAACCACTGCTATAATGTATTGTAATGAAGCAACTAATGTCTGCTGCTATTTTCTCCGCATGCACGCACAGTGAGAGTTACTGTCTGTGAGTCCGTCCTTCTGTCGGACTGCACTTTTTGCATTTCGCGTTACTAGCATTTCTCGAATGACATGTGAAGAAAGCCGTTTTCTCTGAAACTGCTTACTAGAGAAGTTAGAGCCTCTTTTGTTTTTACTGTGGGCAGGTCCGCCATTTTTCACGACTTACATGCATGCATTTACGTCATAACATGGACACTTTGTGCATAATGACACATGCCAATAAGACGTAAGTTTGGAGTTGGGTGCCTTTGGTGGCTTAATTACCCCTGTCTGCTGCAACATACTTAGTGTGAGTATACTCTGCCATAGCACAGTTGTTTTGTAGTGTATTGTGTTAGAGATTTAAACTAGCTGAGTTTCTCTGGTAGCTTAATTGGTAGAGTGCTTGCCTAGAATGCAGTCTCGTGTGTTCGAATCCCACCTTGGGCAGTTCTTTCTTTCATAAATAGCTGTCCTGCGTTCATTTGTTTGCGTTGCCTTGCCTTTCTACCTCGTTGATTACACAAAAGCTTGAAGGAAGCACAAACGGGAATAAGTAGAGAGAAATGCCGTTACCTCTTTCTGCCTACTGGGGGCTAGTGGCCGCATAGCCTAGCCCAGACGCGATACCATGCATGCGCAGTGCGCCGAGGGTTTTTGCTCTTTAGTGCTTTTCATTGCTACAGTGTCACCCCATTCAATACGTCTTATTAGCAATAAGCGTCATTAAAGTATAGGAAAAACCAATGTGGCACAATTATACCTTGACCTATCGTTTAACTTGGCTAATGGGTCACTGATACATGTGGTTACAGTGATGTGGCACTATGTTGACTAAATGGCCCAGATAACGTCACATACAATAACTAATAGCACGGTGTGATATTCTGCAGGGATCGGCATCTCCAAGGCAGTAGTAGAGACTGAGCAAAGTCAGTTAGAATCCTCTCACACTCTTCCCCAAGAATGTGAAACTGCTACTAATACCACAAGACTAAACGAGACAGTCAAAGACACTTCAGCTCCGAAAACACTCAATCCCCTTACAATAGACAATACTCAAGATGTTTTTGAGAAAATGTATGAAGCACGAGAGAAGTGGCGTAACATTGGGGGAGTCTTCCATCTTTCTGAGTCAACTCTGGATAATATTGACTTCGAGAACAGAAACAATGACGACAAGCTACGCAAGGTCATCATTGAATGGCTCAATAGATATGGAGGAACTGGAGATTGCACTTGGACCCATGTGGCCATGGCACTGAGAAATAAAACTGTGGCTCGAGAAGATGTTGCTCCTGAGGTGTTAGAGCAGCATCCCCAGCCATGGAGTGTTCCTCCTCCCTCCCTTCCTCCTCCACACACTTCCCCTGACTCAGGATCTGGAGCTACTGCAGCTGCTCCGAAACCCAGTACCTCCCAACCTAAAGCAGGTAATTTAAAATTTTTATGGCTAAGATTTAGATCTGCACCATAAATGTATGTAGATGGAGTTGTTATTTGCTGGTAACATTACCTGTAGTACAGACAAAATTTAAAATGTTGCCTTAGTTCAAGTACGTAGCTATTGACTTTGAGTTGCGTAGTTTACGCAAGGACAGAGCAGTTTCATGTACAGTGGGTCCCACTTAATATCTTACCGTTTAATAGAATATCCCACATATTATCATAATATTTTTGGATGCATGGTGGGTGGGTGGGTATGATATTGACTGGGACCCACTGTTACAAGTATTAACCATTGGAGTAGTGGTTTGCTTAAGCCCTGCAACTCTAGGATGGTTACACAATGAATTAACAGACATATTGGTAGTCAATTCAGGCGCTTTGACAATATACCTTAGAGTTAGCTGGTTTCTGTTAAAGTAGTCAGTAATGACTTTACCCGTACCTAGCTGTTTTCCGTTCATAATTTTTCTGCACTAAAGCCTTGGCGCAAAACCAGTGCTATTAAATTTTAGCATGTGGTTAAAAGCTTGAGCTTTTCACACATTTAATAATAACTTTCTAAAAATTGTGGGAAAAAGTTACCAACAGGAATCGAGCTCGCAGCAGCGGTTTCTGTAATTACGCTAATGTGTGTGTGTCCGTCCAAGCTCTTGCACGAAGTGTTCCAGCTATGACAAAAACACGTGTATTAGTTCACTGGGTCGGTCAACACAGCAGGGCTTCAGCAAAAAGCTACTCTAATGTATTGTAATGAAGCAACAAGTACTGCTAATTTCTGTCACCTTTCTTTTTGACCCTCGGCATGCACGCACGGTGAGAGTTGTTGGGAGTCCATCCCTCTATCTGTGCGTCTGCACTTCCTGCATTTCGCACTGACTTGCATAATAGAATAATCATGCATAACCTGTAAAAAAAAGCCATTTTCTCTAAAACCACTTACTTAACTACGGGTAGGTCCACCATTTTTCATGACTGACACACGATGCGTTTGCGTTGACACTTCGTACATATTGACACTTGCGTATACACAGCTTTGAGTTGGGCATCTTTTGGTGGTTTAAATATCCCGGTCTACTCCTACGTACTGAGTAAGAGTATACTCTGCCATACAACAGTGGTTTGAGGTGTGTGCAATGTGTTACAGATTCAAACTGGCAGAGCTTCTCTGGTAGCTCAGTTGGTAGAGTGCTTGCCTAGAATGCAGTGTCGTGTGTTCCTGGGTTAATTTGTTTGCTTTGCCTTGCCCTTCGACCTCGTTGATGAGACATGAGCTTGCACAAAGCACATACATACGTACATGCATC